TTTGGAGTCTTCTCACTACCTAGAATGAATATGATCAAAAAAAAAATTAAAATATATTTATTGAAATATGTAACACTAATATACAAACATTTTTTTTTCTTGCAAAACAACAACTCAAATTCAAAATACAAAAATCAGAGAAAACAATTACAATTTATGACTGAACAAAACAGAAAAACAATTAAAGTCCGAAATATAAAAAAAATAAATAAATATATATAAAAGTTCCAAATACAAAAGTCTAAAATACAAAATATACATATTAATGAATACAATCAAATAAAATTGTTTAAAAGAGATTTGCACATTTAATCTACTTTACACTAATTTCATCAATCATAAACATGTTTTATCATTTTCTTTTTAAAAACTGTTACTGACGAACTAGCTTTAATACCAAACGGCAATTTATTGTAATGGTCAAAGCATTTAAAAAATAAGAAATTCATTGATGTTACTTTATTTGTTCTATGTGCAAGTTACTGTTATTTGTAGTAGAGTAGTTATGAATATGATTGTTAAAATTAATATATTCTCGAAAATAAGGTGGGGCTAAACCATTTAATATTTTATATACAAACACCATAGTCAAATAGTATGATCTCTGATAAACCGAAATCCATTGCATTGATCTATGCATGGTAGATATAGGGAGTATATTTGCTACACCTCAATATAATCCTCATACCACGATTTTGCAGTTTTTGTAAGTTGAAAAGGAAGATAACCGATGAAAAATAATCAAAATGTGGTTAAACTGTAATTTTAGTTTCAGCTGATAAATTTTTTGATATTCTTGCAAAGAAGTAAAGTTTCTTCGATATTTTTTTAAAATATAATTAAAATGTTCACTAAACAATAAAAAATTATCAAGTTGAAAGCCAAGGTACTTAGTAGATGTTACAATATCAATTTTCTCATCATTAATTGTAAGATTAATTGCATTTAAGTTTATATTGGTATATTTATATTTAGTAGTTATTATCATAGCTTTAGTTTTTAATACGTTAAGTTCAAGTTTATTAAACATTAAATAATTATTGGCAGAGTTTAGAGCCCGATTCATTTTTTGTACCGCATTTTCCAAATTTTTATCATAACAAGCCATTAAAGAATCATCTGCAAATATATTTATAAAATCACAATCAACAAAGTGATTTAAATCATTTATAAACAAGATAAATAAAAGTGACCCCGGAACGCTACCTTGGGGTACAAATGTTAATATACTTTTCAGCAGATATATTATTATTAAATTTTACTCTTTGTTTTCTTTCAAATAAGAATTAGTAAACCAATTCAAAACACAATCATTAATGCCATATCCAGTAAGTTTCTTTAAGATAATATTGCGATCTATTGTTTCAAATGCTCTCTTTAAGTCTAGAAAAACTGCTACTAAATAGTTATTATTGTCTACCTCCGTTTTAAATTTACACAAGGAGAGTTGCAGAGCTGCTTCACAAGAGTGTTTTTGGCGGAATCCAGATTGGTTAATAAACAAGTATTAGAAAATAAAAATTTAAAAAAACCGACTTCAAAAACGTGCAGATGCCATCACCACATCTTAACTAAATTTATATGGGACCACCCCTGAGGTACCCCCTTACTAACAAAAAAGAATCATATAAATCGGACACCGTGTTAAAGAATAATCGCTGAACATACATAAAAAAAATATCGCGACGAATTGATAACCTCCTCCTTTTTTGAAGTCGGTTAATAAAATATAATTGTGTTCAATATGTTGAGGAGTTTGTTCATATACAACTGATTCAAGCACTTTTTCTATAAAAAGAGGTAAATAAAACAAGGGTGGTCCTTAAGATCTCACAATAGTAATTTAATACGACCGATTTGGAGGAGATCAGATCCTCATCATCAGGTATGGTCTAAAATAGAGAGGTAAAAACGAATGAGCTCATAACTAATAAAGTGGGTTTAAAAATTTTTTATTATAAAAGTTGTCAAATATCAAGAACTCACCCGTATTACTCAAATAAAATAAAATAAATAAATAAAATAAAATAAAATAGATGAGTAATACGGGTGAGTTCTTGATATTTGACAACTTTCATAATAAAAAATTTTTAAACCCACTTTATTAGTTATGAGCTCATCCGTTTTTACCTCTCTATTTTAGACCATACCTGATGATGAGGATCTGATCTCCTCGAAACGGGTCGTATTAAATTACTCTTGTGAGATCTTAAGGACCACCCTTGTTTTATTTACCTCTTTTTTGAACATATAACTCACACATGGCTACTACCTTCAACTTTAAACTTTTTCTATAGGTGGCAAAGTATTTATAGGTCGGAATTCCGAAGCATTTATTGTATTACTTACTTTAGGAATTGGAACTATTGTACTTATTTTTAGTGAATCAGCAGGGTTATTCTACTAAATTTATAGCCCGGCTAAAAGTTTATAGCCCGGTTACAAGTTGGATTTTGAAGTTAGAAACATATAAAGTTCAAGCCATAATCCAACTTGTAGCCGGGCTATAAATTTAGTAGAATAACCCTGCTGGTACTGTTGCAGTATGAAGAGAAGATAACATGACCCACGTTTTAAATACTTCTTTCAATATTTTGGAATTAAGGATTTCATAAATAGTACATTTATTGTCCAACGACTTTACAAATACTCTCAATTCCTCAATGACAACAACCGAAAATTTGAAAATTGAGGATATATCCTATTATAGTTACAGAAATTTCCTGTTATTTCAGTAGAAATGCTATCAACTATTTGGGTAATGCTACTATAAGCACTCCACGTCCACTTTTACGATTTTGGTTTTAATACTCGTAATTAAAATCGTTTCAAATAGTTTGATTAAAATTTAATTTTTTTTTTTTTTTTTTTAAATATGGTTCAAATAAAAATAGAATTATTTACCGATTCTACACAAAAATAACTCATTTTAATGTATATTTAATCTTAATAATTAAAAATATACTGACAATTAGTTTGACAGGATTATCACTTATTGAAAATTTTAAAAATAATAGTAATGGGATGTTCAAGATATGAACGGTGGATTTCATTTTTTTGCAGTGTTCTTATTATCCAGAATGGATATGAAATATATTCGTTCAGTTGAATGCAATGACATACTTTTTCGTTTAGTAGTATGTGCGTAGATAAGCTAATATCTATGTGGGTGTAGAAAAAATATTTATTATAATTATAAGAAAAGATTAGTAAAATATACAAAATTTATTTGCGAAGTCTAAAAGAACGTAATTATTTACCTACCCACATTTACTAAAAATATTCATTTTGTAGATACGACCCTTTATCTTAGCAGAACAAACTTTTATGTTCCATTTAGGTTTTGTAGTTATAAAATTATTTTTTTTTTTTTAATTATAGTTGGGACACCTCAGAGGTCAAAGGAATTTGGTACATTAACTAAAACCAATTTTGAAAAATGTTTTTCGGTGGATAGGTACATGTGGGAACCCTTTTAAAAAGCAAGAACAGCCTGTTCTTATTTCAAGATTATTTATTTCTTCAATGAAACTATCCTATAATTTAACCAAAATCAATATATTTATGTCAAAGCCAATATTAACATTTCTTGGAACAGTTCATATTATTTTTGTAACAAATTTAGTTGTATTGGATTTAAAAACAAGGTATTATTGAATATAAATAAAGTATATTTAAAAAAAAGTGTAAGACTATTTCATTTAAGATTTTCATTATACTGCAATTGAGCAAAATATACTCTTCATTTAATTAGAGATATTTTAGTTAGGGCAAGTTCATTTTAATCTTGAAGCAAGGCTTATTAGCTATTGTTGAACAAGTATTAGGTACTAGAATTTCAAATCGAGACGAGTTTTACTTGCGGATATATAAACACAACAAAGTATTTAAATAATACCATTCATCTTGAATATAGTACACCATTTTTTGTGTGCAGGGATCTTTACCTGGCAGTGACAACTCAAAAGACTCCTTATTTAATACATTTGGACCAGTAGAAGAGTGCAGATTCTGTGAAGAAGAGGACGAAACCAACACTAAATTCTGAAGGAATGTGTGACATTAAAAAAACCACAAGTACCTACTATACCTGATTGCCTACTAGATCAAATAGGGTGACCCACCCAGTTTTGAGCTATTAAAAATCCACAATTTTGCTTGTAAAGATAGGATTAAGTAGTAGGGTTTTTATAGAAACGGGTTAGCAACAGAAGGGGGCGCAATAGATCTTTGGATTGCAATGTACCTACCTATTTAACACCCCATAACAACAACATCCAACAATATCAATGCCATGTGATATTAACATTATTTACAAATATTTTTTTTAATTTCCTGTTCATAGAACGAATCTACCTACCTAAAAACTAGCTATTATTGCTGGTTTGCAATCAATTATAAATATTTCTCAATATTCACAGTTGGTCAATACCAAACTACCATTTACGGAATCAAATCTTGTTTCAAGATTATCAGGTATGTACTTAAAATGAGTCATTTTATGTAGAACATTTTTCACTTTTAAACTGCGTAAATACTAGCTCCTTTGTTTATTTAATACCTAATTAGGTATAAACATAGATATTCAATAAATTGAAAATTGGTAAAACGTTATTTACTTTTATGTTTTTAGAACGTAGTAAAATCTACGTTATTGCAAATCCTATTTGAAATTAAGTAAACGAACTAAAAATAATATGCAAATGTAATAATTAATTAAATAAATAACGTCAAAATTCAATATTATCATTGTCTCAAAAATTATTATAAAATCTAACCTAAAAATAAATACTTTTTTTGTGATACTTTAAACAATTTTAATATAATGTACAAATGTACAGATGTACATTATTTCATAAAACTAGTACACAGACTTCCTTTATTTACGAAATCACACTGGGAATGATTTTGATATCACCTGGACAGATAAAACTAAATATAACGAACTATCCAATGGGTAAAAATCGTTAAATTGAAACGTTAAAAAGGTGTTTACTCACATGACTAGCCTGGACAAAATGGCAGATATCATTTTTATGTTATTTATAACTTCACTATATTTTTCACAGTCACGTTAGATGTTAAAATAAGTTAAAATTCAACGACAGTGAGTTTACGGTTGTCATCGCGCCAGCAGTTACGGACATCTGACATCTTGGATTTACGCGGCGTTGCCGGAGTTAATAAGCAGATTTCCTTGACTGTCAAAACCTGAATAAATTGGCACATGATATTGGCAAGAAATGTTGTTTGTGCTGATAAATTAGTGTGCTATATAAATGGATTAGTTTACTAAATTGTTATTCTGTATGAAAATCATAATTATTTAAAATTTAAATTGTAGGTATTCAAAAATATCTAGCTCATTATAAAACACTATAGTTTTTAAATTGTCTAGGTACCTTATAGTTGAGTTTCGAAATAATAGAAAGTAATAATTGAATACCAAAAATGTGTTAAGAATCCTGACATATGTACCTAAATAATTTAATTATTTTAAGTTGACGTACCTATTTTTATTTTTAATTGATTAAGTATTGATACAAAATCAAAAACGTCATTCTCGTAAATACTTAGGTACTAATATAGGTACATTTTGATATCTCGCATGAAAATTTCGATTTTCTTGAAGTATTGGCAACATTATGACAGCAGCTCTGGGATGTTTCGAGGTTGCCAAATGTAATAAACATTAAGCAATAACAAACTACACAATGATTATGATTGCGCACATTATTTTTATTGCAAAATAATAATAATTATTTTGTAATAAAGTAAATGGTTATGTTTTTTGATATCCTACTATGGGGTATTAACTTTTTAGATTATGTATTGTCTTTATTGTAATTTCATTAAATTTTAGGATTTGTAGGTATTGATTCACTATAAGTAGGTAGGTATCCACACACTAAAATATTCCTTATTATAAACAATAACTATTTATATTTAAAAATATCGTCATTACAAACGCCTTCATCTTTGATAAGCTAATAAAAAAACACAACTATTTGGCTGGTTTATATTCAATATTTTGGATAAATTATAAATGTGGCAACGTAGCGATATTTTGTGAAGAGCATGGACATGGGGATCGAACGGTTTATGTCAAGAATTGAATTGTTAAAGCTCAGTTTACACTATATCTAGAATCGTAATAAATGATTATGAATTTAATTTTAATGTTTTTCCTGTCTAATTTTGAATCAGTTTTTAAATTGGTGAAACTAGGAGCATTAGTTGATATAGACAATAATATAATAATAATAATAATAACAACGATAGATCTTTTTCTTATAAGTATTTCGGGTATAATAAAATAATACCTATGGTATACCAGTAGGTAGTATTAGAAAAAAATGGTAGTTTAGTTTTTTTTTTTTTTTTAGTTTAATATTGACTTTTTCATAAGTTAGTTTACATTTTCCTAATACCCTGCTATAGTAGTTATTCTCCTTTTCAGGGTGGTTTACCCTGATTACAATAAGTGACCTATTTTCCTAAGTTGTCGTATACGCGTGTGAGACCTGTGTGGCAGGTTGTGATTCCCGAAAATATCGCCCATTTTGCTATTTCCAACCTCGTATAAGGTGGGGAATATGATTTAGGGAAACCTCGAAAATCTAAATCACGATACTGTACAAATATTATGAATTCTAATTATTCTAAGATTGGAAAGGGTTTTATCTGATGTTTAGGGGGCTGAGTCCAGCAGATCCTGGAGTTCAGCGGTAAGGGGGAGGTCTTGGAAGTCTGAAAGTGGTCTTAGATTTGGTTGCGGCATTCTTCTTTTCGGTTTTTGAAAAAGTGGGAGTTGGCGTGGGCGCCATGGGGTTTGTAGTGTGTCTTGCGAGTCTGTGTTGGTGCCTTTCAGCGTGCGAGAGACGTATTGTTTCCTGAGGGTTTGGAAACGTGTGAGGATAGGGGTGTTGGAGATGTTTTCGAAGACTTCTCCGCTGGGAGAGCGATAGGGGACGTATTGGCAAGTCTGAGTATACGTCTCTGGAATGTGGTGAATTTGTGGGCCAGGCGCGTGGGAAGTACGCCGTAGGGTACATCTCTGTACTCGGCAACGGGGCGGATAATGGAGTTGTGTGTGATTAGGGTGTTTGTATTGCAACCCGCCATTCGTCCTCACAAAGCCCCAAGGAGGATGCCTCGTTTTCGTATCTTATCAAGAGAGCGTTGGACACCAGAGGACCAGTTGAGTGTACGAGAGAATCGTACTCCCAAATAGTCAACTTCGGTCTGTTGAGCGAGGCTGACTCCCAGGAGATTTACGTTTAACAGTTAGGGGTTCTGGGAGGTTCTTTGAGAATTTGGATGTTTAAAGACGATAAATTGTGTTTTTTGTGGGTTTAATGGGCCCCTTCATTTGCTACACCAGCGAGAATACTGGTTTAACAGATTTTGGGTTTGAGTATTTAGTTGGTCAGAGTTTTTGGCTACGGACAGTAGAGCTGTATCGTCGGCGTATAGGAGGCATTTGGACGATGGGTGGTTTGGAGGAGGAATGTCGTGAGTGTATATAAGTTAGAGTAGAAAGGCGATGACGGAGCCTTGTGGGACCCCTGCAAGTGCAAGTGCAAATGTGTCTGCCAGAGAGTTGTCCACTTTGACGGTGATTTTTCTGTCAGTGAGGTAGGAGTATATGAGTTTAGAGACTCAGGGGGGAAAACTTATGTTCATAAGCGTGCCAGACTTGGTCGAAGGCTTTTTGAACGTCTAAGAGAACGGCTGATGAAATTTATTGGAAATTTACTGCAGTGATCGCTGTAGTGCATGTAAGTAGGCATGGGTACCGATCAAAAATTTTCCCTAAGGGGGGGGGGGGGGGCAAGTCTTATCGAAAGGGTGAAAATGCCGCAGGATACAGTCTAAAGCCATGGCAAAAAATCTAAAATCACAAATTCCTGGGTTGCAGCGCCCATGTAAGTAAGTATATGTAATTCCTATATATGGGGTTATTTGAAGTCAGTGATGTACAAAAACAGACCTCACAATCTTCAGGTCCTCAAAGAAAGAATAATTGATGAAATTCACAATGTTGAAGACATTTGGCTGCACAATATAAAACAAGAAGTACAACATATTTTAGGCCTCTGTCTTGCGGTTCATTTTGAACACTTTATAATAATTTTAGGTAATTATTTTAATGTTTTAATGCACCATTTGTTCGTCGGTATCTCCGGCTTCAACAACTTAGGATATTCCCAGATAGCACAGGACGTCCTTTAGATGTCCATTTATCGTTTGTACGTCCAGGACCAATTCTGGACGTTTTAAGTATGTCCAGTTTAGTAAATCCTCGGGACGTCAAGAAATAGATATCCGTAGAACGTCAATTCTACGTGCTTTACTATATTTCCATGGATTTATATTCGAATTGTATTATTATGTAGTTATTTTATATAAACAGCATATATAATGAGATAATATAAATAATTATTATTAAAGATGACATTGTCCCAATATCCAATTAAATGAAGGCCAAATAGACAAAAAACGAAGAAGGTCATTGCAAAAAAAGGATATTGTTGACAAGTGACATTTTATTATTTTTATTATTTATTTAGATTCAAGCACTGATATATTAAGCATTCCAAACTGAATGGCTACCAGTGGGTTTTGACTGGTTATGATATGGCAAAATTATGGCAACCCTGTAGGCCTGGTGATTTGACAAGGTCAATGAAATAGATAGTTACATAGATTGATCATCCATATTTTTCAAAATAAACATAAGCTTATGCCTTGAAGTAAAAATGTAAGCAATTATTTTTTTTAAATATCTAAAGGCTAATAATTGGTTTTAAAACACATTTTTGCTAAACCGATTCAAATTAATAAATATTTGCCAGGCAATATGGCCGCTCGTAAACGACCAGCTTTGAGCAATCTATATAACTATATATGTATCATTGACCCTGTTAATGACAACTTGACAACAGGGTTGCCATATCTAAACTGTCATTACCCACTGGTAGCCATTTGGACAGGTCGTTGGAATGCCTAATTCTCAGGGCTCAGGTTTTAATAAAAAAAAAAGAAAGAAAACAACATGGTGTTCAATGTTTATGCATGATTCGATGGTATATGTACATATTATACGAGTACAAGTTCTATCATTCCGCCATTTGACTGTGATTCGATTCTGTGAGTCTGTGGTTGATAAATATTATTTTTTTGTAGTTTGTACTATTTTTTTCTCTGAGAAAGGTGGAAGTTTTCCAGTAAATACTACAAAGCTAAAAGGTTAGTGAATTCATAATGTCTAGCATGGCAAACTTAAACAAACAGGTTTGATTTTCATATTGATCTGCCTTTTATTTTGAATAAGCGATATCTAGTGTTATTTTATATTCATCATCCTATATGAAATTCTTTGTAAATGCACATCCACAATACAAAATCTGTAAAACGTTTTAAAAATTATTCAATAAGACATATAAAAAACAAATCAAAAAACCACTCACATCTTGATGGAACCTTTATACAGCCAGATTTATAGTTTACATTTTTTTGATAAAATTATTTTGTGGTCGTAGAAAAAATATTGTATATCACTTTTGTGAAAGATTTTTCACACTGGTAAGGTAATACTGTAATAGACTATTGCGTCATAGCTTATTATACTGGAAATATTGTTTTATATCAGCAAAGCATTATTAATGGAAAATATTTGTAATCGAAGTACTTTGTACAAAATGCAGCATTTTTAAATTTTACCAAATTTGCAAAAAAAAAATTAAGTGAAGTTTTAAACTAGCAACTTGTACGGTACATAAAAGATTTCCATAAAAAAAATGGTATTGTGTAAACAGAGCCTTACCAAGTTTACCTTTCTCATGTTGTTAATAGATGTCACTAGGTATTCCGATAGATGCTGCCACCATACGTTCAATCATGAAATTTATAAAATCTTTTGTGGTTTCTGTGATGAAATCGAATTGAGTTTTACGAGATTCTGTGATCTAGCGTAATTATACTTATTACGGTGTTGCCAAGTATTATAAATTTTCAAAAAATTCGCAGATTTATTGTATTATTATAAAAAATACAGGACGAACCGTAAGATACCTAGGTAATAATAACAATTCTTGTTCACGGCTAATGCAACGAATATAGTTTATTCAAGAATGTGGGACAGCCAAAT